AAAAAAAAGTACATTTACAGAATCAGTGCACTTAGGATAAAAGGTAAACAGAAGAAGCAGCCGATCAAGTGGAGTCAATAACAACACCTTCAAGGAAAAGCTGAGCCACTTAACAATAGCCTTGTGTGGTTTTCCACTGTGCTTCTGATATTTAATTTTCAACTAAGGCGGGTTCCCCAGGCCAGCTTTGACGATGAGAGTATGGGTAATCCGAAGTGTGCCTAGTCCTGAACGTTGCATGGTCCTGGGGTCTGATCCATGCAGCTGATGCCTAAGATTCTGAAAACCAGCTGTAATGCACAACATCAGAAGGTTCTGTATCCCAGACTCATATCATTCCAGGATTCAGAGGATTAGATTTCATTAGACAAGAGGGTGGTCCGTTCCTCCTCTGTGCTGGGAATGCCAAGAGGTAGAGATCTACAGGGAGGCAAGGAAGACAAGAGCACCTTAGTAGTTCTCATCTGAAACAAACACCCAAGACCTACATCACCCAAATAGTTCCTTAAAAGCACCTGCGAGGTTTTAAGGTTCAGAGTGCTCAGAACCTCTCTGACTAGAGGTTTTTATGCAAAATAGCATGCGCGCGCACGTGCGTGTGTGCGTGCGTGTGTGTGTGTGTGTGTGTGTGTGTGTGTGTGCTACTCCCACAGTAGGAACAAATAATGAGAGATGACCATACCTTTTTCTCCTTGAGTGTTCCAGTAGATAATATAAGCCCATTGATAGTCCCTTTAACACAATTAAAGGTATTAGTTAATGAATATAATTCTGTAAGTTAAATTTCTCTATAAATAAAATAAACATTCACACAAAAGACCGGCTACTTACACTTATCAGAGGCCACAGGCCTTGTATCGCTGCTGCCCACTCAAAGCCAATTTTCTCATACATAAATCCTCCCAGGGTAGGTCCTAAAAAAGCACTAAGAAAGACAAGATGAGTATTCAATAGTCAAAACAGAATTAGCTCTTAAAAGCTATATAATCCTTCCATCATAAATCTTCATCAAATTGACATTTTGAATTTTAAATAAAATATCCATTTATAAACATAGCTTGGGCAAAAGAAAAATATTTTACCTGGTAATAATAAAGCACGGAAGTTTTCAAACATGTGTAAAATTATAACTGTTTCGGAAAAATTGGTACCTTATGGAAAATAAAAGATACTTCAAAGGAAGCTTAGTTAGCTCTCTATTCTCTACATGAAATATAGTTTATTCAGTATTTATATTTAAAATAACTTAATTCAGTATATAGTTATTAAAGCGTCCCTGGATGGTGAAAGCTCAATCCTAGCCAGCAGGCTGACACTCAAACCCACCCAGAGACTCAAACCTGCCTCAGAAGAAGGGTCTAGCAATGATGAGCCTCCAAAAGGCCACACGAGCTCCCCATGTGTTGGCATCAACCAATGGAAACTAGCTTCAGTGCTTATTATAGTTACCTCTCTGCTGCCCCCACCCTTCAAAAAAGAAAGAAAGCCAACTCCACAGCCACTGAGTCAATTCCACCTCATACACACCTATGGGAGAGAGGAGAAGTGCTCCCTCGGTCTTAGACACTGTCCATGTTTAGGAGAGCCCAAGCCTCAGCTTTCTCCCATGGAGCTGCTGGTAGAGTAGAACCGCTGAGTTTCACGTTAGCGGCCCAAATAATGAAGGGCTCCTTCTGTTATGGTAAACCCAACAAAAACCTCATGTCAACTCTGGCTCCTGGCAACCCTGTTGGACAGGGCAGAACTGCCCCTGTTGAGCGTCTGAAATTGTAGCTTTTTCTGGTGTAGAAAGCCCAGCCTTGAAGGCACGGCTGGTGGTTGTGAACTGCTTACCTGGCTGCTACCACCCAACTCATCACTACTATAGTGGAGCGTGAAAAATAAATGATTGAGTTAATAAATTATTTCAAACACTGTTGAAGGAACTTAATTGAAATAAAGTATGGAAGACCATTTGGATCAGGTGTTGAAAATGATTTTATAATCACTGATTTTGAAGTCAAAGAGTAGGGATTAGAAGTCTGTCCTTAAAAAAAGAGAAAACAAGGTTGTGCCCTTGTTGAATGAACTGTTTGCAAAAATGTATCTGACGTCTCAACATCTCATCTCCCATCTTTCAAATGCAGACCGTGCTTCCTATCTTGCAGGTTTGAATACAATTCGAGACCACTCACCCAACGGACCACAATGCGCCAAAGAGACCAGACACCAGTCCTAAAGTGCTCAGTCCTTCCTCAAATCCATTTTCACTGTAAAAATAAAAAAGTGTATCCATGGTGACTAAGAGGGGAGCCCACATGCAAGAAAGAGTGTTGTGTGATCAATTAATGAAGATAAACCAGGGGTGCTTTGGACAAAGCCCACAGCAGAAACATAATCCATTTCTGAGATTAAAAAATGCTTATCTGGTTTTAAAGATTTCCCATATTACATTTACGCTATGATTGTCTAAAAATAATCTGATGGCATCTATAAGATATAGTATAAATACAGAGATAGGGTTTTCTTTCTCTAGGATCCAGCTACTGCCCAGCCAGATTCCCCATTCTCAACCGTACATTTTCGTCATCATGTCTGATTGTCTCATTAACCATTATGACTTCCTAGAGATAGACATCTGGTGCCTTTGTGGATCTCCTCCATGAGAGAGCAACAATGTTGAAGCCTTTCCATTTGGCTTTGGCTTCAAACTAAGAATAAACACCATGGCACAATCCAAGCCACTGTGCATGGCCCATTTTACATATTACAGTTTGAGCATTACCATATAGTATTATTTATAATACTGTCTTATAATTGATACTACTTTAATCAAAATACTCTGAGATATGAAATCCTGAAGGTGAAATGTTTAGGACAAAAATATCTTAGATGATGGGCCCCTCCCCGGTCCCCTCAAACGGAGAAATTCAAGAAAGTTCATGATCCTTTAGAAGACAGCCATTCAAACAACCGAAGTCACTTACTGTGCGCAGCTGAGAATCTCCGGGAAAGTTGGAATTATGCTCATCCCAGCAGAGATGCCGTTGATAACCAGCACCAGTACTAGCAGCCAGAGCTGACTGCACATGAGTTGTTGAGATTTAAAAAATAAAAATAAAAAGTTAGCATTTCAAAGGCCAGTCATGAGAGTTTAATAACTGGTCTCTTCCTGACAGAGCCCATGGATGGTGCAGCCTCTAGCTGAAGAGGTGGAGGTTCAAGTCCACCCAAAGGATCCTCAAAAGAACTTGGTGATCTACTTCCCCCAACACCAGCCCTTGACAGCCCCATGGAGCACATTGTGACTTGGACGCATGCGGGGCGCTGATGACTTAGTCCACTCAATGGCAGCAGGTCTGGTTCTCTTCCTGGGAGGTGAGCACCCAGGCAGCACTGATAGGACCTATCTGTGAACAGAATCCAACAGTCTGGGTGCCTTTGAGGAAAGAATCTTCATTACCACCAGATACAATTTATTTCATTAAAGCACCATTTTGTTCCTTATATATACTGCCATCTTCTCACCAAACCAAATCCTTCTGAGTTGGCCAAAAGGATACCATCAATTCTGTTCCCTTGGCTTTGATACTGGATTGATTAGAAAATAAATTAAAATGTTGAGGTGAAGGTAAAAGGTAAAAGAGTTACTTCACATACAGGACTTTCCTATTGCCATGAAGTCAACTCTGAGTCATAGTGACCCTACAGATTGAACTGCTCTTTGAATGTCACAGTTATAAATATTAACGGGAGGAGTGGATGGTGGATGTGAACTGCTGACCTTGAGATTAGCAGTCCAATGCGTTACCCCATCAGGACTTCTTCTACCTTGCTTTTCACACGTAATTCTTGTAACAACCCTGGGATGTTACACAATACACCCTTGGGCTCATAAACTCCTTTTACACATAAGACAATGGCGGCTGTGGAAATTAAGCGGTTTTGTTTGTTCAGTAGCTCAGCACACGGCCTTCAAGTCAATTCGGAATCATAATAAGTAAGTCTGAATAAAAATGGAGAGTTATGCTTTTTCCCTGACATCATGCTTTAATCCCAAAGTACCCCCCAAAAAACCTAAGGAGCGTACTTCCTTTTAGTAAATAAATTATAATTAAAATGCGTACACTTATTGAACGCTAAGGGAGGCATAGAAACAAAAAGCAGATTGGGTTCCTGTCTCAAGGAGCCAGGACAAATAGAAAAAAAATAATAGAAAAATATATGCACATATACAATAAATATGATCGGCTAATGGTAAGGAGCAACAGGCTGTTAAAACAAAAAACCCAAAAGCCTATACACATGAGACACAAAATAGGCATTTTTTTCTCACTTCATACAGCACATGTTGCTATTTGTTTGCAATGAGGAAAAATACGTCTGAAAAAGAAACCAGGGTTGTCCTAGATGATGGTAATTATTTAGCACAAAGGCTCAAGCCATCGAATTACCAAGCCCTCCCGGAACTACACCAATTAAAACAAACAAACAAAACTCAAGGTGTTTTGTCCAGAAATGCAGAAGAAGAAAAGAAATTACCTTTTAATGTGCAAGATTGGGACAGGTCCTAAGAGCACGTAGCACCCCGCTGTGATTAAGTTTCCAAAGACCAGAAACCATTTCCTTAGATACTGGTAAAGAGAAACAAGCGTCCATAGAAAGCTTTACAAGTCAAAACTCTCCATTACAAAAGCTAACGGACTATTAAAGGACCACTATTCCAAAACCCAGCTGTATTGAAGGAAATACATCTCTCAGAGGGAAAATGGGTAGAGGGTGACGGGGCAGTGTGGCACTAACTAACTGCTCCCCAAGAGGCAAGTCAGCAGAAGGGCGTCCCTTAAAACGGCCAAGGATTGATTGCAGATTTTTCATATGGTGAGCTATTCACGACTTAAATACCAAATTCCACATTTTAAAACTGACCCCTCAAGTAGCTCAAGCTCCCAGACAAGTCATATTGTGAGTAAATTTCTTCCTTAATAAGCACTTGAGTATAGTCGTTTAAAAATCACAGGATTGTGACTGCTGCTCAGTTATATTGGGTTGTGGCCTGTGAACAAGGCTAAAAGCACTGGCCTTTGATCCCTTGGAATTACAAAGCAATCCCCGTGAAATATAACTCTTGTTAAATGTACATGAAAATCAAATGAAAAACAAGCAATAAAGCCATACAAGTCTGAGTTTTGACCAAAAGCACTAGTTTGTAAACTCAAAAAAGAGCCTCAAACAAAAAGAACATCCCTCATGATCCTATAGGACAGGGCAGAATTGCCCTGTGGGTTTCTGAAACTGTAGCTTCACAAGAGTAGAAAACCTTGTCTTCCATAAAGCAGCTAGTGGTTTCAAACTGCTGACCTCAAGAGTAGCAGCCCAATGAGTAACTACTATGCTACTAGGGGTCCTAGTCAACTAGAACTAATGGTTCTGACCCAGTTAAAGGAAAATAGTTTTCTACCAGGATGGCTATATGTGTGGGATATATGGTGACTGTGGGTGATTGGCAGTGCAGTTAAGTACCCAGCTGCAAACTGAAAGGCCAGTGGTTCAAACCCAGCAGCTGCTCTCCAGGAGAAAGATGTGCCAGCCTGCTCCTGTAAAGAACGACAGTCTTGAAGACTCGGGGGCAGCTCCTCTCTGTCCCACAGGGTCCTGATGGGCCAAGGGACTGGATGACAAGGGGTCTTATGGGACAAGCTATGCACATGTGCATGATGAACCCTTGACTCTCACAGAAAGCTTAAGCCATCTCCTTGCAAAGTAGCACCTCTCAATTTAGTCCATTTCCTTCATTCCTTTTGGGGCTCTGCCCAACTTGAAGGTGAATGTCATTTTTCCTCTGCAAAGTCGACACAAAGGGTTCTTTTTTCTTTGAAGATGTATACTAGAATCATTTTCGACCATGGTTAACTTAAGACTCCTCCTTCCCAAACGAAGCAGGTAAAAGTCAGTCTTCGGAGGGTGATGCAGGTTGGGAGACACCGGAACCTCTCTCTCATTGCAACACGATGCCAATCTAGTCCATGGACCCACGGAGTTTGGGGGGCAGGGGGACAGTTGGGAAGCCACGAAGCATGCAAACGTGTATCGATATAAGTTAAGTATACATACTGGCATTTTATCACTCAGAAGGCCCAACAGTGGTGAAGAAATAGCATAGCACAACGCCAAGCCCAGGAACACGAGTCCCACATAGCTAGCTGGTAAATTAAACTGTTAAAAAAAATTGAATTCAATTACATAGTTGTTAATTTCAAAGAAGTATTGTTTCTATATTTTCACATTCTTCTCTTATCGTTATAAAAATACAGATAACACATTGGTCATTTCAATATTTTTCCTATGTACAATGCAGAAAGGTCAATCACAGCAATCATATTGTGCAAACATCAATCTCCACAGCTAAATTTCCCATTACTGAATAAATAGCCATCTTTTCCTTCTGTCCTGTCTCCAGTACTGCTTTTGACCAAGAATCTACTGAAGCCAATCATGGAACTTCCTATCTTGTGACTTCTTGTGGAAGTTTATATTAAACATCTACAGCATTTTACCTTAAACATACAATGTTTTGTCTCTAAATCATAGCACTTTTTTGTGTTTCTCAACACATCCCTGGAAGCCCAAAATCCATTTGCAGGGTCCCCACATGGAATAAGCCTCAGGTAAATCCCCTCTGACCAGCCCAGGGACATGAACAGCCTTGTTATCAGACAGCGCATTATAAAGGCAATTGCGGCAGATGCCTTTTGTTTAAATGTAATACCTTATCATTTGATCTCCCTTTTTGACCCTGTTAGAGCTGTTTTCAGTTTTTAATCTCTGCTCTCTTTTTGAGTGTTCTCTCTGTTTTGTTATTGTTGTTAGGGGTTTTTTTTTTGGCTTGCTGGTTTTTGCTTCCTGTTTACCTTTGTGGGAAGCATGGGGAGCTAACAACTATTAATTAGCATGAGAAAAATACTGGGGGGAGGGAAGAAAAGAGGAGCTTTTACCATGGGTTCAAAGGAAAGTAAATGTCTACAGAAGAACGAGGACACTATATGTACAGATATGTCTGATACAATTGATGTATGGATTGTAATAAGAGTTTTAAGAGCCCCCAATAAAATGATCTTTTAATTAAAAAAAGGAAAATGTTCTGAAACTGATTGTGGTGATAGTTGCACAACTCTTCTTAAGATGATTGAAGAAATAAATTGCATGCTATGTGATGTATATGCCAATTAAAAATATTAAAAACAACAACAAGCAAATCAGGAAAACTAACCCAAGGTCAGAAGACCTAGATTGTTGTCTCAGTAGCATTTCATACTAAACATTTAATTTTTTTTTCCAGTCTCTAAATCATAGCACTTTCGTGTATTTCTCAACATTTGTTGCTGTCTTGTGGCCTCCAGTCCATTCTGACGCTCAGCAATCCTGTAAGGTGGCTGAGAGACACCCCCAGAGTTAGTTCCCTGGGCTCTGCCCTGGGGGAGCCCTGCTGCATAGCTGTGATCACGCATGGGCAGTTCACAATGACCAGCCTACAAAGGCTGTAGAAAAAGGCTCTCTATATCCATGAAAAGCTACTGTCTTGAAAACCCACAGAGGACTACCTGTGGTGTAGAGAGCCAACAATAACATCAACTTGCTATGTAGCAGCAGGAGCCCTGGTTGCACAGTGGTTACTTGTTGGATTGCGATCCACAAGGTCTGTAGTTCAAAACCATCAGCCGCCCCAGGGGAGACAGACAGGGTTTCTCAGAAATGGGCAGTTCTAGCCTGCCCCACAGGATGGACATGAGTCCACATCGACTCGATGGCAGTAAGTTCTCCTGGCTTGGGCTGCACGGCAGAGCTTTCTGGTCGGCTTACCTTCTCCAAGACAAAGAGAGACAGTGTCGGGTCCAGGAAGCCGAAGCCGGCGCTGAGCGAGTTGATGACAAAGGCTATCAGGGCCACTTTGGGCAAAGTGATGAGTTTCCAGAATGACTGCTCACTAGGATCAGCGTCTGGGGCCAAAAAAATGAAATGGGGTTAAAAAAAAATTCTTAGTAATGAAACTCTTAACTTTCAAACCTAAAACCAGCAAGGTCTTTAAAAAAAGGTCTCAGTATAAAATCAACAGACTCAAGATCGTGTTTTGGCTCTCATGGACTTGCCCTCAATTGCTCATCTTCAACCTGAACTCACCTGTGAACAACTGATGGTCTGATTCATAGTCAGCCCTGGCCTGGTTTGAGCTACTGATAATGAGCTTCTCCAGCGGGTCTTCCCACAGATCAATACACTGTTTGATTTTGTGCATTCCATCTGGAGAAGTCCACACATATGGTCACTGTTTGTGTTGTTGAAAAAAGGCATTTACCACGAAGTCATTGGTCTTCTGAAACTGTACCGCGTGAGCTCCAGCTTTGTTTCTCTCACCAACACCATATTTTCCAATGACTGTTCCTTCCTCTTTGTTTCCAACGTTTGTATTCCAAATGCCAACAATTATCGATTATCCCGATGGTATGTTTGATAGAAGACATTGGTAGTTGTATTGACTGGATGTCCTTGTATTCAGATAGATATCTTCCCCTCGGGCAGCATTGTACTTCAAGGATAGACCTCGAAGTGTCCACTGTGAAGATGAAAGCAGTGTCACTCCTCTGGACTCTGTCATTCCCAGCATCGTGAACCATGGGCTTTGCCGTTGCAACATGGCCATTCCCAGGCCACTGCAGCTCAGGAATGCCTAGAATGTCAATGTTTATGATTCCACTTCATTTTCGACAACTTCCAGTTTTCCTAGATTCATACTTTGTACATTCCCAGGTCTGATTATTAACTGATGTTTGAGTTGTGCCCCAGCAGCAAATGAAGGCCCTGAACGCTTTACCCCATCCGCGTTATCACAGTCGACTCTACTCTGAGAAGGCAGCTCTTCCTCGGATATAGTTTGAGTGCCTTCTGTCCTGTTGGGTTCATCTTCTGGCACCGTCTCTGACGATGTGCTGCTTCTATTTGTGAGCTTTTCAGTAGGTGACAATGTTTTGAGGCTATCCATAGGGTTTCCGGTGACTAGTTGCTAAGAAGCAGACCGCCTATGCCTCCTTTGTAGTCTGTTCTTAGTCTGGAAGCTCTGCAGAAACCTGTTCACTTTGGGTGACCCTACTGGCATTTGAGATGCCAGTGACATACCTTCCAGCATCCCAGCAACACACAAGCCCCCGCGGAGTGACAGATTCACAGACCCGTGGTGGAAAGCGGTTTTGTAATAGGCCACAGACACCTCACATTTGTACAGTCCTACCCTGTCGTTTTACTTGGACCCACCACCAGTGCTCATCAAAGCAGCGCATTCCACCCTGTATTGGACAAATCTGCTTCCCTAGATCTCTTAAAAGTGTTGAAGAACACGGATGTCAACTTTAGGACTGAGGCGCATCTGACTCACACCACGGGGTTTTCAGTTCTCCCGTGTGCTTGTGAAAGTTGGAGAACGCATAAGAAAGACCACCGAAGAACTGATGCATTTGAATTATGGTGTTACTGGCCAAGAATTCTGAACGTGCATGCACTTCCAGAAGAACAAATAAATATGTCTTCGAAGAAGTACAGCCAGAGTACCACTTCAAGGAGGGACTGTCAAGACTTAAGTGTCATGCACATTGAACCGGTTATGAGGATGTGGCATTAATCAAAGTGTCCAGAGTTCTTTGTGGAAAGGTTCCCCAAAACCCACAGATGGAAACCACACCTTCCGAAATGTACAGGCCGAGATGGAAGAAGAAGTGGAGAAGCAATAGTTTCACAGCTTGATATTTTTGTTTCTAATCACGGTGTCGATGACGTTGCAGCAAATCTGTTGGATTTATCCTCACAAATATATCCCACTTTATATTGCTTAGTAGTGTTGTGGGACTTTTCTACCTTCCAATTGATTTAATAGAGAAAACATTTGCTGCACCAGACACTGTATCAAATGCTGGACCTTGGAAAGGAGTGAAACCCAGACCAGACCTTTTCCTTGCTGAGAAGTTGAAAGGGGGAACAGAAAGGGAGAGGAGGCTGCCTGGTAAAGCATATTTGAAGGTTAACTTAAAACACACACACACACATACGCACGCACGCACGCACGCACACACGCACACGCATATGCATATACACATGCACGCACATGTGCTCAAGTAAGTGCTATGTAGGACAGGCTTCCCCAAAGATATTCGCTCTAAACTGGGGGTGAAAGAATCCGTTTGAGATGAGCAAATAAAGGAGAAAGAAGAATTCTAGGCTCGTTAATCCAGAAATGGCATATTCAAAGACTCAGAAGTCAAATCCTGAGTTTGAGGAAATGAAGGGAGAGCACTTGGAGGGCTGAGATCTGAGGAACAGGACACAGAGAAGGGGGTGTCAGGCAGAGGGAAGAGATCACATAGCAGAAATATGTAGTGACCCCATAGTGCAGGGCCCCGTGAAATCGCCGGTCCCTATGAACATGACTTTGTTGAGAAAGAGTCTTTGATTATGATATTATGGTAATTATAGGTAAAAGGAAGTCACACCCGAGTAGAAGGCATCCTAACCCCATCTGAGTCCTGTCATTAAGTAGGAAGAGGCAGAGAAGCAGAGACACAACAGCTGGAGGTCCTGGGTGAAGCAGCTGCCAGCCAAAGGATGCCAGAAGCTACCAGGTCGCAGAAAAGCATGGGAGCCCCACAAGAAATTCACAAGCCAGCACCCTGATCGCAAACCACCGGACTCCTGAAATGTGAGACAATCCATGCCTGTTGATCAAAGACCTCCACTTGGTGGTCATCTTGTTCCAGCCGCAGGAGAGCGTGAATGCACAGGCGGAAGTGCTTGGAGGTCCTAGCTCAGTACAAGCGTCCTCGTGTCTCCTGCGGACCCCAGAAGAATCTATTATGCAGCAAGGACTTAATGAACCATGGGCTCTCATGGGAGGAGCCTGGGTGGCAGTGGTGAAAGCATTCAGCTGCTAACCTGCAGGTCTGGTCGGAAGCCACCAGCTGCTCCGCGGGAGAGCAGGGCAGCAGGCTGGACACGCCACTGGGAAGTTCCGCTCTGTGCTGTAAGACCCCCAGGCGTCCAGACCAACTCCACAGCGGCAGGGGTTTGTTTTCCTTTCAGGTTTAAGGGCAATGTTTTTAAAACATCAGACAATGTAGTAAAATTATTTTAAGTGCTGCAACTTAGACTGTCCCATGAGATAAGGGAAAACGTTATCCTGGGGTGTTGGTTTCTAAATTACCAGCCAACTCTGAAAGTTGTTCAAACCACAATCAAGGCAGTTACAATTTGACAGGGCACAGGTGCCACCGTGTGGCTCAGTGTGGTAGTGCTGTCGGGGAGACTCCAGTGAATTCTGAATTGCACAGTGGAGATGTGAATGAACCAGATGTTCCAGAGGGGATTCCGACTCCTGGCGGCCCCACGGGTGTCAGTGGAGAACTAAACTCCACAGGGTTTTCCATGGCTGGTTTTGTTAAAATCTGTCTTCCGAGGGCCATCTGGGTAGCCTACAACCTCCGAACTTTCCGTCAGCAACAGAGCTAAAATGAATCATTTGTTGCACTACCTGACAACTCGAAGACTCAGGTCAATAGTCTGTGTTAAAATATACATTGCAGGTGTTTAATCAGTGACGTATATAGAAATTGCTGTGGGTTTATGGTATGAGGTGTATCATTATGGCATGAACGGTCCCTAAAGTACAAGTGGGGAAGAGCGACAGCCACACCAAGGAGAGAGAGCACCACCCGTGAAAACCAGCAAGTTTTACGAAGCTTGGGAGGAAGCTCAAGTGATGGGAATTTAAAGGGGAACTTTAAGGTACACGGCAGAGCCGTGTGGGCAGCTTTTCCAAGCTACTGAAGTTCTCTCTCTGCTCCTCAGGAAGTCTGGTCTATTCTGGCAGGTCATGACTGTGTTGGGTCTAGTTGGAAAGGGAGGCACCCCTGAAATGTGAGGGGGCGGGAGAAAAGCTGGGCACCGTGGTCTCACTTACTCCACATCTAGTCTGAGGATCAAGAAAACTTCCCTGAAGCAGTAACACCAATGGCGTGTGCACAATGAGGAAGTCAGGGGAGGTCGAGTAGATGTAGGGAAGGCTGGTCCAGATCATGCGACTCCTCTGCTTAAACAGACCCTAACGGCTTTCAGGACAAAGTTCCCATTTCACAAACGTAAGACTCTTAATAAGCAGTTGTTGGTCACAGTGAATTAGAATGATTTCTTTGGATCAGTAGCTCACTCACTGGCAGTGAGTGGTTGGCAACTCAAAGCGACCCTATGGGCCAGGGTAAAAGAGCCCCTGTGAGTTGCTGAGACTGCTCTCTTTATGGGAGTAGAAAGCCCCATCCTCACCCTCGGGGCAGCTGGAGATGTCCCCTTGTGGTTTGAAGCCCAATGGGGGACCACTGTGCCACCAGGACTCCTTGGACCAGCACAGAAAAGGGAATTTGGTGACTTGAGAAGATTAATGAGCTGATTAAAGGATGGCGGACAGTGAGGGGCCCAGGGTGACTTTCAGCCAGTCTGTCCACAGGTATGTCAGCGAGCTAGGCAGTGTGGAAGATCACATCCTGGCAATGCTAGCAAAACAAAAAAAAATGTGCATAATTATTCTAGCTCCTATCTACAAGCTCGCTAAGATGACCAAGCAGTTAAACAAAGCCATTCTTAATAGCCACACCTGCATCTATATGAATGGTTTATTGTTATCCATATTCTCATAGCCATGGGGGAGATTCTGCCTTGTAGCAACCCTCTAAAGGCAGCTGTCCTCAACCTGGGGAGGCGCCACCCTTCTGGGGGTTGAACGACCCTTTCACAGGGGTCACCCGATTCATAACAGTAGCAAAATTATAGTTATGAAGTAGCAATGAAAATAAAGTTATGTTTTGGGGTCTCTCCACAAAATCAGGAACTGTATGAAAGGGTCGCAGCATCAGGAAGGTTGAGAATAAGGCCCTGAGGTTGTCTAATTTTATATGAGCCAATTACCTCATCGGTCTCCCATGGAGCAGTTGGTGGTTTTGAACCACTAACCTTGTGGCTAGCAATCTAACCCACAGTGCCTCCAGGGCTTCTGTTAGTAATTTAGAAGGTTTTTTTTAAAATCAGTTTCTTTTTAAAATTCAGTTTCAAGAGGAGATTCTTCAGTAGAAAAACAGCATTGTTCAAACGACTCTGTAACAATGAGGCTACCTGGAACCCTGTGAAATTTGATTATAACTGCATGTTCACACAAATGACAGGAGCCCTGGAGGCATATTGGTTACACATTGGGCTGCAAACCACAACATCGGCAGTTCGAAACCACCATGGGAGACAGACAAGGCTGTGTCCTCAGAAAGCCACAGGGCAGTCATACCCTATAGGGGTGACCATGAGTTGGCATTGACTCAATGGCACTGGGTTTGAATGGAAATGAATAACAAGGAGTGTCAAACAGCGAGGTGGGAGGCAGGACAGAGAGGTGGGAGGCAGGTAGGAGCAGGAAATAGGGTCAGGTCCACAGGCAAACCTCCCGGCATCTCAGATGGTGGGGCCAGTCCAGCATCTAGTCATGTAACTTCTAAGCACTAGGTCCACCCATTAACTAAACCCCTAAAGATTAATATGTTGGCTGGCTGCTAACCAAAGCGTCAAAGGTTAGCGTCCATTCAGTGGTATCTCAAAAGAAAGGCCTGGCGATCTACGTCCCAAAACTCAGCTAAGGGGCACAGTCCCACGCCAATACACATGGGGTCACCAGGAGTTGGAACTGTTGGAATGGCACCTGGTTTCTAGGCCCAGAACAAACCCTTTCCCTTCAGATGATGCAGTGCGAGTTGAACGAAACATTCTCCTGCCCCGCAAAATCTCGTCTTCCATTCATTCTCTAGCTCTGTTGTTGCCCAGCAACCTGGTGAGGATCAAAAGTCAACTGTTAGTTGCTGACTCACTGCACCCCCTGTGGGTTTCAGAGCTTGTAAATGCTTACAGGGAGGAAGGAGAAAGCCCAGGGTTATCCCCTGTAGAACTGCTGGTGGTGGCTTTGAACTACAGACCATGCAGACCACAGCCCAACGGGTAACCACCGTAACACAAGGACTCCATTACTTATGATAACTAGAATTCCTGAAGGCCTGTGGAGAGAAGGAGCCGTAACACCTGAAGCTGAAATACCTGGTGTAGACCCTGTTTTGTGCCTCACTGAGTGTGCTGAGTCTCATCACACCTGCAGGGCATGATGCTTGGAAGTCAGGGTGACTCCCATCACCACCTGATGTGGCCTGCATCCCGCTGGGCCCCTGGCTGTGTCCTGGCCCCTGACTGTGTTGTTGCACTGGGGAGGGAGGCCTGGCACTGCCCTCAGCCTTCCTTTAAAAGGGCTGGTGCTGCTGGAACCATACACCGCTGCGAAAGGTTAGGTGAAGTCAAGACGACCTTTGCCAGAGGCTGCAAGACCCTAGTTATTTATTGGAAACTAAGGTCAGAGAGGATTGAGGATGCCCGGGCTCCCTCTGCTACCTGAAAGTAAAGTGCTTTTGGAAGGTGAAATGGCGTAGAGCAAAGAATCAATTCATATTCATTTATAGGAAGAATGCTCTGAGGATCCGGCCACCGCAGATCACACAAACAACACAGAAACCCTAAGGTACCGCTCACTCCCAGACGGGGTTCCCAGACACAGTCCTCAGTTCCGTGGAGGCTTCCCCTGGGGGCAGCTGCCCAGGAAGGAGCTGGTTGGCCAGGCTGCTCTCCCTGATCCTGGTGGGGGCGCCTCTGTAGTGGCTCGCTGAAAACTAGATGCTCAACACACGTTTCGCTTTTCACCTTTCTTCTTTTTGAAATTATTAAATGAATTGTTTCATTTCTTAAAAGTGAAAATTCTCTTTGAATTTCTCTCAGGTACTGAAAACAAGGATTAAAGTAGTGGCATACATAGACAGCACTTTCGAAAGTGAGCGATCCCTGCATAGAAGTGCAAATAAACAGGGTCTACAACACCATTTCCGAAAAGCCAATAGGTTTTTGCAGGATGCGCTAAAACCCTCCGTGACTGTACAAAATGAAAGCGAGCCTATGCTCCACGGCACACAGCCCGGAAGACCTAGATGTGCTCCCCTACCACTACCAACTGCTCTATGAGGAACGAAAAGAGGTGGTTCTGAATTAGGGGAGGGGGAGAAACTCGGGCACAAAACTTAGAATCATAAAGTGGTCCGGGCTGACCGACAGAGCCTGAGGGAACTCCTGAAAGCCTGTTCTTCAGTCAACGTTAGGGTTTGACCAGGAACTCGCCCCAGTGCTCACTGTTCAGTCAAACAATAGAACAGGTCCGTCAGGGGGCCAGTAACAGGAGGCAGGTTCCCACACCTCAGCAATCATCTACCACTAGAGAGCAAAGGGCAGCACTGACTCAAGGACAAAGTTCAGAAGTGTTCGGAAAAGGCCAAGGAAAGGAACCAGGAAACACAGGGACAGAAGGTGCCAGGGGATGTTCCCCTCGGGGATCAAGATGAATCAAATGTGTGCGAATTGTTGAACATAAAACTGATGGTCTGCTCAGTATACCTTCACCCTCTTCATTTCTAAAAGGTTATGTGTTTTTAAATGACTATTTAGAAAATTGACCTCCTGCAGATGCACAAAAATCCTTATATTTATTATTCTTAATATAAATAGTTAAGTGTGCTCTTACCATAATTAGGTAAAATATACATGTTGAGTGGAACAAACAGCAGAACTATGCCTCCCAGAAAAATAAAAGGCACCTCATAACCAAAAGTTTGATACAAAAAGCCACCTAACGGAGGCCCGAGCACTAGGCCGAGTCCTGAAAAAATCTCAAGACTTCCCTAAAAGTGGAGAAAAAAGAAAGAATATTGAATTAATACAATTATTTGAAAAGTTGACAAATCAATACTTAATGGATCTACCTGAAAGAAAGAAAATAAGATTTCTATCCGCTTCACAGAAATAGTTGGTTCGATAATAATCAAATTAAGTAACAATAAAGATTAATTAGATAATTTAAGATGGACCCAAAACATAAACATACATATTGAAGCCATAAAAGTTCTAAATACAGGAAATATGTTTTTCTTTTCATTTAAAAAAAA